AGCGGCCAAACCTGTGGATGTGGCAGGTAAACAAACCGGCCCAACCTGCCAGGGGGCTTACGTGCCAAAGGTTGCCGATCCCTGGTCTAGTCATATAGGGGCCTTAAAGCAGGGAGACCTCTGTCCCCTCAGGTCATGCTGAGAGGGCCTAAAACTCTGCAAATATTGTAACTAGGCAGGAGCACGGGGGACTGTGGTGACATTGGTGAATGGGAATTGAAATAAAGTTTCACTGAGAGCACACCCAGTGGAGTCTCTGCGGTTTCTGCAGGGAAGAGGACAGGGGTGGAATCAGGTCCCTGTTTTATTAATTCAATAAACTGTGTATATTTCCATAGCATCTCTCTTCTGGCTTATTGTTCTGTGTCACTGATATTTGGCATTGCAGGTCATTGGGGTAACAGCTGATGTGTCGGGTGGCCAGAAATGCAGAAATAAACAGGAAAACAGAATTTCCCAAGGAATAAAAATGCAATAGATAAAGGCTAGCATGACGATTGTTTTAACATATGCTTGAACTGACTGGAAAAGGCATGATTCAGCTTGCTACCGGCCAGAGATAGAAGACCTCCCCCTGAAAAATAGTTTATATTGTATCAAACACATTAATTGTAAACACATTGAAATGCTCTTTACTAGCGCTGCTGCCTCTGATTCATTGGTGACCTGTGAAAGGCAGCAACACATGCTTATTGTTAAAAAAGAACAGAAGGATCATCTATCGTTCGGATGAAAGACAGAGACAAAATAACCAATCTGTAATGCAGATTTATTAATAGTCATTCACTGGTTTTCACTGAAATATTCTTCATGTAACCTTGACTTTATTAAGTAGTCCTTAAGGTGCATTTTGAAGACAGATAATGAGTTTGGGGAATAGTCTTATCTACATCAAGCTAATCTTTAACAGCTTGGAAGGGAACTCACAGAAACTTTTTCCACTTTAAGTGACATGGCTATGTACAAATCAAGCCTTTAAAAATGCCATTTTAATAGGAAGAGTTGACAATACCTGACTTTATTTATATTATTTCCTGCATAAAGCATTGCTATAAAAACAAAGGGGATAGCAAAAAGCTATTGAGTTATTAATAGTATTAATGGGGCTAAGGGAGTTAATATTAGATTATAAGAATTCTACTGTACACAGTAGCATAGCACTTTGTTTCTCGGTTAATAAAAGACAAGCTAGCCCTTCCTTGGAAAAATAAATAGTTTCATTCACAGTGGCTGTCTCTTTAAAAGGAAGGGACAATCTGAAGGGAGAGGTTTTGAATGGCACTTCATTGTTAAGTCTGCACATGGCACATTGTCAGGCCTTCTATGGAGAGAGGCTTGCAAGCACCCCTGTGACCCTTTGCCGATGCAAAAAAACAGTGGTGTGTGTGTGAGAGAGGGGGAGGGTGCAAAAGAACAAAAAAAGGGACTCAAGAGAAAACTAACTGAGGCTCACCCTTTTAATGAGACTGCTCATGATGTCCCATGATTACATTCATCTCAGTTTCTGGGCTGTCCTAGAAAATGATTTCGCATTTCCCTCATTTGCAAAAACTCTCACGCATGTGTGCCCACACACACACCAGATTTCTTCCTCTCCCCCCCCCCCCCCAAGCTCAGATGCATAAGTTCAGTTTGCACTGCTGACTTCATTTTAACAAAGTGTTGGACTTTAAGCTGGATGTACTCTTTTCCACTCATTCCATATAGCCTAGCTCATTTTATTTTGCTTTATTTATTATTTGATCATCAAACATCCTGATTTTCCCATGTACACATACTTTGAATTTTTGACTAATATCAGCCTTTCATCACTTTTAAAATCCAAAATGTCTTAAAGTCATGATTCACAGACCACAAACTGTACAACGAATAGACCACAGACTTATATGACGAGATTAAACAAGAATTTCCAAGCACTCACTTCCCTCAGTTTTTATGTTCTAACACCAACTGACTGGTAGCAAATGTTAGGGGTACTTGAGCAACATTTTGACATTTTTTTTAAACCCCCAAATGGTGCATGGTTATTTGAACTAATGTCTTCTGTGAAAATATAACAGGCCAGGAACAAAGCTATGCAAAACCTAGTGGTCTCATTTTCTAAGGGCTTTGGGGAATTTTTTTCTTTGGTTTGTATCTACCAAACTTTAGCTTTGAGTGATGGGGCTTCAATGGACACCAAATTACAAAACAAAGATCAGCCTGATCTGTCGAGTTTCCTCTGGTTTTGAACTGCAGCTGCAGTTCTCCCATGCTTTGTGCACAAAACCAGAAATCGGCCCAGGTTTGCTTGAATGGTTTCTGAACTTTAGCAAAACCTTTCTATGAACCTGTCTAAGTTTGGGGGTTAGGAATGAAACCTGACACCAGGTGAGTTTCCCATGGTGAACATTTTGCACAGCTATAGCTAGGAACGTATTTATAATTTGAAAGCAGAACCTAAGTTAACAGTTTCGTTAACAAGTCTCAAACACTTGCTGACCAGTAATAAGTTTGAGCACAGATTTATTACCGAGCACTGAAGCTTGGCACAAGTGCTCAGTGTAATTTTGCAAGTTGACAGACAGTAACTTTCCTTAAATGCTAACTAGTTGTGAGAAGAAGGTAAGATTCAGCATTTTTATTTAACTTTTTTTAAAGGAACGAGATAATTCATCTGCAAATACACCATTCTTTGCTCTTTTGTCAATAGAAAAGTTGTTTTGCTAATGGTTATCTGTCTGCAAGTCCTTGACCTGCTTGTAAACACATTTCTGCAGGAAAACCCTGGGCCGTGGCCTCGGGTCTTTGCGTCAACAAGAGATAAAGTGACCAGAACTTAACCTGATCTGGCCTGGAGTGCCCTCTACTGCCCCTTGACCAAGTACTTCCCTAATCTGTGTCCTTCTGAAAGGAACAAATTGTTTGTAGGGGCCGTCCAGACACTAGGAAGAAGCATTACCTGGAATGAAATCAATGTTCTTAGCAATACTTTTTCCCTCCCCCTCCCTTTTCTATGGTAAAAGCTTAACTGAAAATTGTTGACTGTTAAATATCCGAGTATGGATGGTTTTGGTGTTGGTTTGGGGGTGTACATAGCTGTATTTTCCAGACACCCTAGCCAACCCCTCTTCATTCAATAACCAGGCCACCGCTGGCTGACAGTGGCTGATTGGAGCAACCACTGCAGTAATCAGTCATGCTGTGTTAAATGCACCACCATCTAAGACATGTAGCAAATGCAGGGAAACTGAACTCACTTATCAAGTTGCTTTTAAAGCCATTTGTTTATCCCCTGGGATTTGTGCTGGATTCCTATGGCCCAAGCACAAACATTGATACATCCAGGATTCCTGATAGTTGTTAAATCCTAAATGTAGCTCTGACCCTGGTGTTCTGGACTGGTCACATGGAGCTCCTCTGCCAGCCCTAAATCTGGCAAATCTGATCTCTAGGTGATTTTTCCAGACATAGGTGGTACAGAGCCACTGTAGTCTAATGTGGAGAGGATGTGGTTGGGACTCCACTGTGCTTGGCTGCTGTAATAGTCCCTTAAGGTCCAGATGAGAAAACATAGAAGGGTTCTGTAACCTAAACAGGAAGGGGCAGTTGTGACACAGAGTGGTTCCAGGAATGAGGAACCATAGAGGACACTTTTAGCCCCCCACATCTTCAGGGACAAAAAAAAACCCAACTGATATCACTGTGAAATCTTATAGCATTTAACAGAGAATATATTCACTCTGGTATTCCCATGTTTATAGCCTGTCCTGTAAAGTATCTCAGGGCTTGCCTTCACTTACCAGGGGATCAATGCTGCAGTGAAGACCTGCTAAATCGATGCAGATTGCTCTCCTGTCAACTCCGGTACTCCATCGGAATGAGAAGGGTAAGGGGAGTCAATGGGAGAGTGTCTTCTGTCAACATAACATAGTGTGGACCCTGCGGTAAGTAGATCTAAGCTATATCAACTTGAGTTACGCTACTAACATAACTCAAATTGAGTATCTTAGATCAACTTATCCCCATAGTATAGACAAGGCCTAATAGTGACATAATGGGCTAGCAAGTTCAGTTACTAACTGAAAGATTGGTGGTTTGAGTCCCCTGCTCTCATTCATCCTCAATTTCCAGGGACGAGGACAAGAAGCACTGGCTTAAGTTCTGTGTAGACCTATGTGAATAACTGATTTTTTTTTTTTGGCTTGGTAGCCGAATGGCACTGGGGGCAGGGGAGGGGGCGGGGGCTGTCACTTTGGGTTGAACTTAACATTTTGTTTCATTTTCAAGGTCTTTACCTTTTAATTATATAATTGAAGTAAAATTCAAATCAAAAAGTCAAAACATTTTGTTTCAAGGTTTTGAACAGGGGGCTTTGACCAAAACAATTTTAGCGAATTCAGCACCAATTCACAAAATGTTTTGGTTGACCCCAATCTGCATCTTTTGGTGAAAAAATGTTTTGTCCAGAATTTTCACCCCCAGCTCTAGTTCTATGGACTGAGTTACACAGGAGGGAAGATCATATAATTATAATGGTGCCTTCTGGACTAAATGACTATGAATAATTTCTATAGGTGTTTTGAATCTTTCTACAGATTTCTCTCTATTGAGAGATTATGTAAAATCTCTTGGAAATCTACTGGATTATGTAAAGTAAAAAATAAAAATAAAGCACTGAATGAAACTCTATAACACTTTTCCAGAAGGGGAAACAGATAAGTTAAGTGACTGGCAAAAGGACACCAAGACCGCTGGGTTGATGGAAGAATTCTACCGTTGACCTAGCTATCGCTTCCCTGAGTGGTGGATTAACTACATAGATAGAAAAAACCCGTCCATAGATGTAGGAAGCACCTATGCTAAGGTACTTCAGCATCACAGCTGCTATGCCTCCGTAGCATCCATAGCGTATCCATACCCTGAGGGTGCCAATGGCAGAATCAGGATTAAGATTCAGAGGTTCCTGATTCCCAGTCCCAAACCTTTAGCCTAACCTAAAATATTTTCCTTTTATACAGTCTGTTTGGACTCAAGTGGTGTGTGAACAAGCCTTGAATTATCCAACGCTGAAATCTGCAGTAGATCACTGACTGTGAAAATTGCCTACGACAGAGTAAAAAACTCCCGACGGGTCCAATTTTGCAAAAAATGAGTAAAGCTTAAGAAAAAGGGCTTTGCTCAGGTGAAACCACATGGCTGGAGCTGAGGGAAAGGAATCTTCTGTCCCAGTGAATGCTGCAGGACCTGACCATGTCACCGGTGGGTTAATGGGTATTGCTGGGAGTATAATGGATAAAGTATTAATGTTCCTCCCAGCTGTGGTTCAGACCATGAGAATACATTTTGTGTACACATCCAGTCACTCATTACTTTGTGGACAATGTGCCCACTTTCCTCCCCCACTACTCTACATTCCTTTGTGGGGGCCCAAGATCGGCATCACTTCTGCTAAGTGCTGAGAGAGAAGGTGGAGCCTCCGGTGTGGATTCTTCACTGTCTGGTTCATGAGTTCATCACAAACAGACAGGGCCATATTCTATGCTGGTGTAAACTCATACAGCTCAACTGAAGTTGATGGAGATGTGCTAATTCAGCCCATGATTTCCATTGCCTTTGGGCCTTGTGTGCCTGCATAAGGCAATTATGGATTCAGCCCCTGATGACTGGACTTGCTTACAAGCTACAGAATGCATCATATACTGTCCCCGGTTAGATACTGATACTCATATGAGTTTGTATATGCAAAAAGGGTGAGCCTGTGTAAATAGGCCTTCCTAAGTGGTCAGACGGGGCAAAACCCTCCAGAAAGAGGAAGCGTGGCTATTTGGCTAAGAGATCTAGCCATGTTTCCAAAGACGTGGGTTAAAAATGAGAGGGAAAATGTGAGGGAATAAATAATACTGGTTCGGTCATTTCAGATAAATAAAAATCAACACCTACTGAAAACTAGAAGTGACTGGAAAATGGAAATGCCTTCCTGCAAAAATAAATAAATAAATAAATCTGTCAGTTTTTTTTTTTAAGAAAAGAAAAAATCATCCCAAATCAAGATGAAAAGTCCAAAATGTGATTTTTTATGGGAAGGGATTTCCAGAAAAAGATCATTTTTGGAGAACCAAAACAGAAAATGAAGCCCTCCTGGAAGATACTTGTCAATTTCACATTTTCCCTACAGTCAGAAAGTAAAATTAACAAGAGCCTTCCTGGCAGGCAGCCAGAGGCTAAGCACCCAGGCTCTCCGCCTTCTGTCTCCCCCCTAGCCCAACGAGCGCTCCCTGGCTGCCTGCCTGGAAGGCACTTGTCAATTTTATTTTCTCCCTCCAGGCAGAAAGTGCAATTGCCAAGAGCTTTCCAAAGGAACAATCAGGGAGCCGTCATTTCAATTTTCCAAAGAGAAAATCAAACTTTTTGACAAAATTGAAATTTTCCTTGTCTGCATCAATAGGCACCTAAATACCTTTAAAAATCTGGCCCTAACTGACTAGCCCAAGGTCATACAGGAAGTCTGTACTAGAGTCAGGAACTGACTTCAGAGTCCAACTCCAATGCCTTCGCCACAAGAATATCCATCCTTTCCTTTGTAATGTAATGTGCTTATTTATGTTTCGTCCCCAAGATAATTTAAAAGAGGGGTTTTAAAAAAAATGTCTATGCTACTAAATATCTGATACCGTGTGCAGATGAACCATCACAGTCAGTGACTCTGTAGAGACAAGACTAAATATAAAAGAAAAAAGTGGACCACATAACAAATTTCCTGGTGTGGTTGAGAGGGGCATTTTCCTCAGGGACCTTAAATAGATTTGCTGGGCATCCACAGGTATCGGAGTGTATTTCACTGTGATATTCACATTGTCAATCACGGGACCTTTCTGTAGAAAAACGGTGCTTTTCTGTAGACATAATAATATTTGGATAGCAAAATATACAGTAAATGTTGTTTGTTTGTTTTTAAAAAAAGAACTAAATTGGAGACTATTCCCTGGTCAGCAAAACTTGCCCATTATTTTGCAGTTTGCTGAATGGGTAGTTTTTAGTGTTTTTGAAAACTGACTTTTCAGATTCATGAGGGGTAGAGAAGGTAATCTTCATATTTATAAGGACACACTGTCAACTTGCTTTTCATAATTTATAAAGTCTTATTTTATTTTCTCTCCCTGTTGGAAACCTGAGACTGACATGTTTCCTTAATAGAGCTGGACAAATCTCTGCATTTTGGGTTTGAGAGATGATTTCTCAGAAATAAACTGTTTGTGCTTCATGCAAAGGAGTAGGAGCCTAGTTAGCTTAGTAGGGCTGGACCCAGAGCTGTAGGGTCTGGTTTGCATGTGTTACCTTTGCCAGTGTTAACTTGTATTTCAGTTCATGAGGGGTACATCATGAAGTCACAAACCAGACTCTACAGGTCAGCTTATAACAGAGCTTTGAGTTTGATGAACATTAGTTTCACTTGACCCTGGGCTTCTCCCTTATTCCAGGTATCCCTATTAATCCCTATTTACTATTGCCATCTTCTCACTGTCTCTGGTAGAAAAGCCTCCTACTCTCTTCCCTCTACCTGCTATGCTGTTGGAAAACCCAGCTGTTCTCTGCACCACCTTGGAGAGGCTGAATACCAGGAAGCCCCAGTTCCAAGGATCTTCTAGAGGAGGTGAAAGGGGTCTGATATCCCCTTCTTGCCCACACAGAGTTTTGTCAGTGAGGTTTACGATATGGGGTTCTTCCAGGCTTCTAAATTTTCCTGGCTACTCTTATAGTGTGAATGGCTAGAGGCACTTTTGTTTTATCTGCATTTGGCTGGGAGTCTGCAATCTTTCAAGAAACAGAAACAACTTTTTTTGAATGTTTCCTGACCAGCTCTGCTCACCATGATTTCCGTATTATGGTAGTGTGCTCTTCAGGACACCCCGCCCCCCCTTGAAAACCAGTTGGAATCTTTGGCTAGGGTAGTGGTGTTAGCTGGGAGAAATATATTGTATCCATATCCTGCATCAGTTCTGTTTGCTTCCAGAGGCAATTTCAGGTGTTGATTTAGATTTATAAAGCCTTACATGGTATGGTTACTGGCTATTTTAGAAAGCATTTCTCTTCTGCTGTATGCACTGTCATGGCCCATGAAATCTGCAGGGGAACATAGAATGATGGAATCGTAGCATTGGAAGGGACTTTGAGAGGTCATCCAGTCCAGTGTCCTGCACTTCTGGCAGAACTAGACCATTTGCTAATGCTGCTTCTATCTGAATTCTGGAAGACTGAATAGAGAGTGATCACAGTGAAAAGTCATCAGCTCCATAATCCACTCCCTCTGTTGGCTCAGCAAAGTCCATATCTGATGATCTTCTGGCCATGCTATAAGGTTTACCTGTATTTACCAGCAGAAGGTGATGATCTGGTGAACGAAAGTAATGTTTGGGAAGAGTCCATTGATATTTGTCAAAATGTTCATTTTTGCCTTGTTTTGGCTGTGCACATAGGGTGAAATTCACAACTCTAGAGAGGCCCTGCACCACTTCAGTTTCACATAGGCCCTTTTTACATGACTTCACTTGAATTTCACTCAGTGATGTTGTGAGCTACACTTTGGCAAACTGTAAAATAAAAAAAGTCAGCAGGGAGCGGGAGGGGGACACTGGGTACCTGGATATACCTTTCTGATGACCTATCCTGTAAGGCTTTGGGGCAACCAAATGAGGGGGAAAATCTATGTGTAAAAGGTAACATAACATTTTTATTGGATGCCTGAGCTCTATTGTGCACTCTCCTGCAGGATTACAGCCGACCAAGTATTAACCCTTTTCTGAAAGCTGTGCACAGACAGAAAAAGGGGGATAGACACTGCAAGTGGCTTAGAGGCTTCGATGCAGTGGGTTCTGAATATCAGCACCAGTTCAAAGGATCAAAGGCCCTCTTTGACTTTCTAGCCATGCTAATTAATGAAAGAAGTGGTATTTGGTCTTCATTACAGACTTAAGGGGGAAAAAAGTTGAGTGTTTTGTCCAGTGGGAAAGCACTGAAGGAGTCTGGCGAAAGTAACAGAGCTGTCTCCATTAGTCTTTTTACAGCACTTCAAGAGCATGGAGCCACTTATGATGTCACGCTTAGGCAGCGCTTTCTTAAAAGTTAAATGTCTGAAAAATGTCAGTGGAGACTGATCTGAATTCCTAATAGGTTTCTAGATGAAACAGAGCCTTTCAGTGGTCTCCAATATTCAGGACGCAGAAGAAAACTCAGGAAAGAACTCTTGGGGGAGGGGCAGAGGGGCGGGAAGGGTCTCCAACACTCCCTTCTTTCGGTTGTGATTTGAAATTCCCTCTGGCCTGTTAGAGTAATTCTGAGACAAGGAGTCCGGTGGCACCTTAAAGATAAACAGATTTATTTGGGAACAAGCTTTTGTGGGTAAAAAAAGACTTCTTCAGAAGCACAGAGTGAAAATTACAGATGCAGGCATTATAAAATGACACATGAAGAGAAGGGAGTTACCTCACAAGTGGAGAACCAGTGTTGACAAGGCCAATTTGATCAGTGTGGATGTAGTCTCAGAAAGCTCTCATAAGACTCAGGTCCCCCTCAGTTCTGTGTCTTTCTTGCACATATCCCTGGGCCATTACAAGGGTTAATAGGAGGTCAATGATCAGGGGTGAGAGCAGAAGAAGGAACTTCAGGTCGTGAGCAGTGAAGGGTAAGCTAGGCTGAGGGTGTTTTTGGAGACACTCTTGCATTTTGTGTGTTGCTGGCTCTCAGAATGGTGAACCTAAACCTCTCCCCTGAATCCCTTCTAATCTCTGACCCTTTCTCTGATACATTCAAATACTGATTACATTTGAAAAGGAAACCACTAGTTAATTTACAGGAGGCTTTACACACACATATGTACGCATATACTTTTATCAGGTTTCAGAGTAACAGCCGTGTTAGTCTGTATTCTCAAAAAGAAAAGGAGAACTTGTGGGACCTTAGAGACTAACCAATTTATTTGAACATAAGCTTTCGTAAGCTACAGCGAAGTGAGCTGTAGCTCACAAAAGCTTATGCTCAAATAAATTGGTTAGTCTCTAAGGTGCCACAAGTATTTCTTTTCTTTTGCGATATACTTTTATATATGCTTAATATGCATCTAGCTTTGCATTCTGTATATAGAAATCACATTATATATATAAATATGTGTGTGTGTGTGTATAAATATGTATCTGTACTGTAAAGCGCTTTAGAAAATCTCAGCATAAATACATATGTCGGTATAGATATATGCTAGAGGTGTGTGTGTATATAGAGATGCCTATATACACACACAATACACATGCACACACACGTTTTCAGATTTCAGTTTTTCAACAAAAATCTGACATTTTCCATGAAATTTTTTGTTTGACTGAAACTCAATGTTATGTGTTGATGTGTGTTTGTGTACACACACACACATTACATTACATTGAAAATTGAGTTTCAGCCAAACAAAAAATGTCCTGGACAACGTCGGGTTTTTGTTGAAAAAGCGAAATCTGAAAACATTTTGGTTGTGGAGTTTTTTATCACAGGGTCTACAGTTTCAGCGAGGAAAGGGGGATTCTCACCAGCTGTAGTTTATGGTTGTGTGGGACTTTATATAGTTGTTTAGTTTAGTTATATAGTAATATAAAGAGAGTGTATTATATATCTGGAGAGAGAGAGAGAGAGAGAGAGAAATTATAATTAGTTTAAAATATATATCATTATATATAGTTTTGTGTGTGTGTATACATATACATATATATGTATACACAAAACTATATATAATGATATATATTTTAAACTAAGTTAATATGATCATGTCCCAAGCTGCTAATGGTATGTTTTTTTTTATCATGGCTTCACTGTACAACATGACAGCATGTATGAACATCAGGTATTCAAACAGTAAAATGTGTAAAGCGATTTTTCTATAATTGGTCCCAGGGCAAGGGGTTGATCTCATGTATAAAAGCCTCCAGATATGCTCTTGGTATGGCTTCTAATTAGGGAACCAGGAAAGAACTGAACTTTGGAAACTGTGATGAATCCATGCCTTAAAAAAGAGAGAGAGAGAGAGACAGAGAAAAGAAATAATCACTTTGACCTTGAACTCCAAAAGGCCCTGAAATCAACTGATTTTACTCTTTAAGCTCCTTAACAAGCATGGGGATTAGAGGCGAGCTGTGTAGAATGGTTCATATTAGATATAAACGATAATGGACAATAGAAATTCATCTATGAGCTCAGCACAGACATCCTGTGCAAATTCCATTTCCCCAAGATATGGTGATACCATGTTACAATGTTATATATACAGTTGATAACAATATGACTTCATCACTTGGGAAGAGACAGAATAAAGCTCAATAGAAATAGAACAAAATTCCACTTAAAGAAGTGTCCGATACGGTGCTAGTCTGTTTAAGTCTGTTTAAATAACTACAACTGCACACACCGAAAAGGTCAAATATAATTAACATCCCACCTGATAATATGAATAAATAATCTGTTTAGCAATTTATTTCAGATATGATGAAATCCCTCTTTCTGATACAGGAATAAAACTTGTAAAAGGAATAAATTGACAGCACACTGAGACTACATATTTCATTGGACTCCAATCTCTCCAGAACTAAATAAGGAAGGATGTTGCTGTCACATCAGAAAGACCTTCTTTAGTGGCTTAATTTTGTTAGTGGATTTGCTAAGATTTTATTTCTTTTCTTTGCTCTCTCTTCCCCAGAAGGAAGGGTTGAAATGCAGCTCACTTTACAAAGAGGGAGAGTCTAAACACATCTTGAAGGTGGAAAGTGCATCACATTTTCAAGGGAACCGGATGAATGTATGCAATGATGGGATGTGTGGGAAGGAGGTTGCAAAAGGATTAAGTTACTGTGGCTTAGGAAATGAGTAGCAATGAATATACCCGAAAACAGCCCCTCTCCCTGCACAAATATTTGGAATGTAATTATTAGACTTGCCTTTCAGTCTGTTCCCAATCTAAATATCAAGCAGACTATGAAGTGGGAGAGGGCATTTTTATTTGTCTTCTTGCTGGTCATGATTTAGGAGGTCTGGATCCCATCTAAAATCACATACAACTATTTCTCTCTCATTTGAACTCTTCCAGGACATCAGAAACCCACTCTCAAACCCTAACAGGACCTCACCAGTCACTTCTCTTCTCCAGAAAATTAAACATGACAAAAATCCCGTGAAGGGCCTTTAGACTCTGAATTTGTGACTTGGTTCAAGTGCATCTTGTCAATCCCCTGTGTCTCTTGTCAATCTTATAAACGTACACGAGACAGATGGATGGTGTGTGAGAGGTTGGGATGTGGTATGAATCCAAGTAAATGAGTTGCAGAATAACTATTTATAGATGGTGGTTTACATGGCTCCCTACCCTTGGCTTCACATACTGGCATTCCATCTCAGTCTGTGTGGCCTAGAAGACCCATCAGAGCTAAGCCTAGACTAATATTTTTCTGACAGCTAGTGGTTGTGGGGACACCTGCTGACAGCGGAAATTTGTTTGTATTTGTATCAGGATTTTGTTCAGAAGGATCAGAAACTCCAGAATTGCTTGAGACTCTCCAATTTTTCCACAAAAAATTGGGCAAAAAGCAAATTAATTTAAAACAAACAAACAAATCCTTTTGATTTACCACTAGTGGTAGCAAATTCCCTCACAAACATGCGCATGTTCAGCATCAGCCATCTTTACTTGGCTCTGAACAGACTGATGGACATTACTAAATTCTTTCTTCCTACCTTTTTCAGACTGTGGGAGTGCTGCTATCACATACTTTGTAAAATACTCTTTTCTTTTAGGGAAGATTGAGTTACATCAAGTGCTAGAGACCCTTGCAACGGCCAGGTGTTATTAGCGAGGACATTCCATCACCATGCCAAGTTATTTTTAATTCTATCTGGATTTTTTTTTAACCAACACATAAAAGAAAGCTATCGAGTTGCTCGATCAATGTTAGTTTATTATTGCTTACCCAAGTGTTTAATAAACCCGTCCCTACCCTGGACATAGCCTTTAATACTTCATTGACTGTAACAAAGCAGCTTTTTCCTCTCAGACCAAAGTAGCTGTATAAACTATAATTAAACACTAATTATGAGCTCTACTGGTCAGATAACAGAAGTAAAGGTTCATTATGTGACTGACAGAACCAGCAATTAAAGGGGATTATTGTTGTCAGAAAATGGCATAAAACAAACAAAGAAAAACTTTTTGTGGTGGGGGAGGGAGAGATTAAATGAGGATTTTGCAATTGACTGGGCTATATCTTGATTTGTTAGTGAGTTTAGAGTTTCCATCCTGGAGGAGATTATGACTTCATGAATGGGGAGAGACTAACACAGATGCAATGATATATTACCAAACGTAATGACATTGTTGTAGAAAAAAAACAGTGTGCAGTGAGAACGTCAAATTTTCTTACTGGATGAGGTCTTCCCAGGGGCACATTCTGATTAGCTGCCCCAATTGTTAAGGGACAAAAGCAAGTACTTCAGGTCCAACATTTGTTTCATATTTAAAACAAAACAACAACAAAAGTATGACACAAAAATGTTTTCTATTAATACTTATTTAAACATTTTTTTCTGCAGGACTGGAACTCAAGACAGCAACATTGTCCCACAGTAAGAGAACTCAAAAATGAAATTGAAATAGAGTGAAGTTTCATCCCTTAGTAAGGATATAAGGCAAGAAAACACTGAACAACTATTGAAAAAAAAGATGGTTTAACAAAGTAGTTCCATTTTAATAATAAATGGCCTGATTCTTCTTTCATTTACATCATTTTTATGCTAATATAACTCCATAGATTTGCTCCTAATTTATACCAGATTAAATGAGAAAAGACTCAGGCGCCTAAAAGTATTATTAGCCAGGATAGTTGAAAATTTTCTGTGGAAACTGTTTTTTGATGAAAAATTGGGCTTTCAACTAACCATACATTGTCATGAAAAGTGTCTGCCTTTCACAGAAAACATTGATATTTTGTCAAAAAATGGATGCCCGAAAATTGAAATATTTTGGCACCAAAACAATGTATTTTGATTTTGATATGCTGCCGCAGTGCTTCATGGGAATTGTAGTTCTGTTTCTTCATGATCCCATTCTCCTTTGTGGCCCAGGCTCCTGGGTCAGACTACACCTCCCATGATGCACCATTGCCAGCAACTCCCATGATGCACTGCCTCATCACTTCACGTGGTTCATCGTGCCCCCACCCTTTTCTGATCAGCTCTAGTTATTAGTAGCATCGGTTACTATTGACACGCAGTGCCCCACTGCTTAGACCTACCAGCCATTCTGGACAACAAGCAACTTCATGATGACCCGTATGCAGTCCCATTAGGGCTTACTGGATGGCTGCTCCCAGTATTCAGAGGAGTTTTGGGACTACATCCAAGACATTCCCCATGGAAAAAAGTGGTCAGGAAACAGACAGAGTCATGGCTCTGATCCCCTACCCCAGCCAGTGTAGCTGAATGGATGGTGGATGTAGAATGCTGCGTGCTATTAAGGTGTGTTGCAAATTATTCCTCTACCCCCCACTGTGTGACTTAGGAGATCTAAGAGGCATGGCAGACATATGGCATGGTGCAGCTGCTCCTTACTTAAGGTGGTGCCTATATGCACAATGTAGCCCATAGCTTATATGATTGTTATTTCAACTGCAACCTTGAAAACAATGGGCCTAATTCTTACACCAGTGTAAACCAGGAGTAACTCCACCCAATCCACTGCAAGTGAGAGGAGAATCAAGCCCAGTAGGTCACATTTTTTGACCAAACCTTTTTCTATTTTGACTTGATGGTTTGCTACTAAAAATGGAACTAGAGGGCTATTTGAAGTGCTCTTTATTATTACTGAATTTGCAAAAATTAATGGGTCCAGTTGGCACTTTTCCCCAAATGCCCACCTTTCCCCACTGATTTCCAGTGGGCAAGCATGTACTTTTCAGGAGATCAGCCTGCAAAGGGACATATTTAACAGTTTACAACTGTCCCAATGACAGCCAGTTCTAATTTAAAACTCCTGTGTAATACTTGTTAGGAAGTTTTAATATCAAAAGGGCAGCCAAGGTCTTCCATGAGAAATTTCTAGACAGTGAAAGAAACTAATCCTTTTTAGTGATGTTTGGCTTCTCCTCTGCAGTAGCTGATCTCTGATTTCATATTTTATATCCATGGTTTGTTAATGAAATTTTCTCCTTTAAAGACTAACCAGGCGGAGAGAAAAAAATTAGCTGATACTTTGCAGCAAACGTTTGAAGTGAAATTCAAGTAGCAGCCTGAGGCTCACAGTATGTAAAACCGACTACCAAAGTTTTAAGGGTGGGTTAATCTATTTTCTCTCCTCCAGGGACCTCTGCTGTATTAAAGTCTTTGGTTGAGGGGAAGCAGCCAAGCTGGCATTAGAACTGATTTAGCAATTTGCATCTTTTGAAAAAGGATTAGTAAATTTCAAATGCTCCTGGTGCCTGAGTGCCAGTTGGCACTGGAAGAGGCCTGTAACTTCACCCAGTTACACTACTAGATGCCATGTGTTCACCTGAGAGGTGTTATCTTGCTTGTTACAGTTACTTCAGGGAGCAAAAGAGAAAGGGAAAGCATGGGTGTCGGCAAAAGGTCACAGGAGGTTGCAGAACACGCCCAGTGGTGTCGCTGCTGTAGGTTGAGCACACAGGGAAAGATGGGTAACACTGCAGATCTAGTGTTGCAGCATTTTCTTTTCTTAACTGACACTCATTAAATGCAGCTTTACTAGTAATACTTTGAGAGACTCTGATAAAAGCAGCTGTGGACTTTAAAAGACATTAGTGAACGTCAGGACTTGTCTGGGACGGAGGTATCAGCACATCGATGTAGCTGATGTAACTGGCGTCACAGAATGTATAGCAAGTGTTCATTTGGAGGAGGGACAGAACCTGGTTTTTTAGAAAAATATTTATCATTTCTAGAGCTAGTCAGGAATTTGAACTGCCAATACACCAGGGGTTAGTGTACTCACAGGGGAAGTGGGGGACTGAGGTTCAGGTCCTATTTTACTTCATTTGGAGAAGGGACTTATACCTGGGTCTCCCACATTCTAGGCAAGTAACCTAGCCAGTGAGATATTTGTTATTTTGGTGTAAGAGAGGGGTGCTCTCTCTTTCTTTCTGAAAGGTCTCAGTCTCCTCCTAATGCAGAATGGGATTTGTTTTTTAATTTTTAAATCTTGAAAATCATGGGACAGGAAAACCGTTTCCCATCCAGCGCAAAACATTTCTTTGTCCTTTCACAAAAGTCAGTGGGGCAGATTGTGTTTTCATTTACACCTTTATATAACTCTAGCAAAGTCAATAGATTTGCAATGTTGTAAGAGAGATTAGAATCTAGCACTTATTTCTGTTAAGCTAAAAGTTAACCTCCAGTTTTTCCTATTTTTATTACAGACTTCAAGTTTTGGTGGGTGTTGGCACAGACATGGGAAGAGGTTTGTATAAGTTCCCCCAATGAAAGTAAGGAAAACACCTTATCGACTATATTCTGAAGGTCAATAAACTTGGGCCTTGGTGGATCACCAAAGACAGCAGTCCTTCACTGAAGGCACACATTTTCTATGGTCCACAAGACAAAACATGTGGGGATTCAACCTCTGAAACAGTGCATAGGGAAAGAGGCAGTCCCTCAAATAGTGAAGTCCACACTCATATGAGTGTTTGTCAATTAGGACCAAAAACATCTTCAGTTTCACCCAGAAGGTGGGAAGGAGATTAATGGAACACAGGGCAAAACAGATAAGCATGGACTTGATGGGACTCTCTGTAGAAGTAAGGGGCCACCCATGTGGATCCATTTGTGAGATCAGGGGCTTATATGCAAATAAGAATTTGTGAAATGTTTGCTTGTGTGTCCATTCAATGTTTGTTCATTCTGCTTCATATGCATGTTGTGTCATATTATTTGACTAAAAAGTTTCAATTAAAAATACATTTCTTCTTAATGCGGCTGGAATACTGGGAAGTCCTGTAAATTGCTATGAATCCTTTGAATAGAATAAACATGTTGTGCAAAATCCTTCCCTGACTGACGTTAGTGGAGTGGCACCTGCTTACTCCAAGTCTGCTGTTTGACCCATGATTGTTATAATGCTAGGGACTGAGCTTGGTATACCATATGGCGGGGAGGGGCTGCAGGTTTTTTTCAAACTCTGCCCTGCTTCAGTGGATTTATGTAGTGATGCGGCAGTAAAAAGAGAGGTGTGGTGTCCGAGTGTGTGCACCCAGGATCAAGGAGAGACTCAATGGTAAGTTAGTCACGAGAAGCTCTATATCTTCCCTCCCAATATAAAAAATTGAGCCGTGAGTTTCATTCAGTAGCTCATTTGGATAAAAGTAGACACCCTGGTGTCAAGTGAATGGGAAGCAGTGGGAGATCAGTATCATGGGGGAAGAAGTGAGCAGAAACTAGACAGCTATAGATACCGTATATGTATAACTATATATAACATGCATACTGTGCACATACATACAGTGCAGAGAGAGAAATAACTTTATTCGTTCCTCCAGATACACATTGCTACTCCCACAAAACTAAAAGGAAAAAAAAAACAATTCAAATTAAACCTCCAAAATAGTTGAAATTACTCTAAATTATTAGGGAGGTGAGAGGAAGGCCCAACAGGGAGTGGAAAGTGTAATAATGACAAGTGTGGTGCCTAAAGGGAAGGCAGGAATGATATCAGAAAGATCCAATGGGGCCAGGTGAGTAAAAAGGCAGCCAAGCAGGGAGTGTTGGATGCCCAGAGGCAGTGCAATATGCTGGCAAAAAGCCACGCTGCCAGGGAGAGAGAGCGCACACCTCAATGGGCAGTCTACAGGGCCTCTGACAGCTTCTCCTCTCTGAGGCACAGGATCCTCCCTCCCAGCAGCTCCATCTGCAGAGGCAGAAGAAGCTGATTTCACTGTGCTTTTTGGTTTGCCGGTTTTCGCCTTCAGCGGCTCCTGACTTCAGTGGGAGTGGAAGGCACTCAGCTTCCTGCAGGAGTGGGGCTGTAAACCCCATGGACCTCAAATTGCCAGGATCCGAGGGAGCTCAGAGTGAGCATCAGTCAACGTGGCTGCGGAGCGGGTACTGAAAGGCTGGGGCGATGTCATTTTCATTAGTCCATGAAGAGCAACTTCAAAAACAAGGTTTACGTTTGCCACTGGCTATTTAATAGGGGATTAGTTAAAGGGAATAAACTAGTAGTAAGTTCAGATGGATGTGACTATAGGGGCAAGGGCTTAATGTGATGTGTTTGGAAATGACATTTGCCTGTTGCCAAGCCGATGTGGCCTGATTGTACCTGTTGCCCAGAGCTTCGATACAATGGTGATGGGCACTATGGGAAACCCTGAAACAGAGAGAAACACACTGAAGCTGGCATTAGTTCAAACCATTCGGCAATAACCCACTGGAGCACTCCCTCTCTCTCTGGGGCTGGGGAGATGGGGATTTTCTGGTGAGCAGTACTAACAGGAAATGGACCAGTGCTTCTTTGCAGCTGGGGCTCTGGGCTCCAGGGGATGAAACTAGCAAGTAGTAACCCAGTAACAGCTGCATTTTCTAACTTTTCCTGTCAGTTTACATGGAATCACAGAAACTAGAGAGTAGAGCTGGGCACATTTATTTCCTGAAAAATGCAGTTTCAGTCGAACCAAAACGAACTGCAAATTTGACTGGATCGTTTCAGCTGGTGAGAAGTTTTTCAGGGTCAGCTTCAGAAAACTCTGCCTGGGTCAGTTCAGGCCCCTTGATAACACTTAGCCCAGTGGTTAAGGCCCTTGTCTGAGATGCGATAAGATCAAGTTTGAATCCCCATGCAGGTGCAGGGGCTTGAATTCAGGTCTCTAACAACCAGCCCATAGGCTAGTCTGAGGTGAGTGACTTTTAATCGCTCCTGATGAAGCTGAAGGATTGGGCCAAAAGAAATCTGATGAGGTTCATCAAGGACAAGTGCAGAGTCCTGCACTTAGGATGGAAGAATCCCATGCACTGCTACAGACTAGGGACCGAATGGCTCGGCAGGAGTTCTGCAGAAAAGGACCTAGGGGTTACCGTGGACGAGAAGCTGGATATGAGTCAACAGTATGCCCTTGTTGCCAAGAAGGCTAATGGCATATTGGGCTGCATTTGTAGGAGCGTTACCAGCAGATTGAGGGAAGTGATTATTCTCCTCTATTCGGCACTGGTGAGGCCACATCTGGAGTATTGCATCCAGTTTTGGGCCCCCCACTACAGAAGGGATGTGGAAAAACTGGAGAGAGTCCAGCGGAGGGCAATGAAACTGATTAGGCGGCTGGGGTACACGACTTATGGGGAGAGGCTGAGGGAACTGGCCTTATTTAGTCTGCAGAAGAGTGAGGGGAGATTTGATAGCAGCCTTCAGCTACCTGAAGGGGGTTCTAAAGAGGATAGAGCTCGGCTGTTCTCAGTGGTGGGAGATGACAGAACAAGGAGCAATGGTCTCAAGTTGCAGTGGGGGAGGTCTAGATTGGATACTAGGAAAAACTATTTCACTAGGAGGGTGGTGAAGCACTGGAATGGGTTACCTAGAGAGGTGGTGGAATCTCCGACCTTAGAGGTTTTTAAGGTCAGGATTGACAAAGCCCTGGCTGGAATGATTTAGTTGGGATTGGTCCTACTCTGAGCAGGGGGTTAGACTAGATGACCTCCTGAGGTCTTTTCCAACCCTAATATTGTATGATTCTATGTTGGACTTTGAGCCAATGAATATTTATACATACAAAGAGAATGAGAGTGACTCTACACAGACTGATAATTCATCGGATGCAGCCGATGAAGTGAGCTGTAGCTCACAAAAGCTTATGCTCAAATAAATTGGTTAGTCTCTAAGGTGCCACTAGTACTCCTTTTCTTTTTGCGAAAACAGACTAACACGGCTGCTACTCTGAAACCTTTCTTCTCCCTGACATTACAGGGTTGTTCCCTAGTCTCTGTTTATTACTAGTGCTTTATCCCATCTAGTTATTGAGTCTCTCATCATAAGCCTGGAGGATTCATACAGGCATGCAGTCCCCCATTCAGGTTGTATTAATATGGCTGTGAAGGGGTCAGCTTTGTCCCCTGGGCCCTGATTGGCTAGGGCGTTGGCAGAGGGGTTCAGACAGCTGGCAGAAATCCCATCTCTGACTTTCTGCTGCTAGCACATTTCTCATTGGATGATGCTAATGCCACTCCAGAGGAGGGTCTCAACTCTATTCCAAATGCGGACAGATGATTTGCCACAGGTCACCAGATCAGGTCTGGGCCAATCATCTGGGTCAGGCACCCTTGAAAAGGGGACTGCAGCACTCTGAAGGCATTGTATGGAGCATTGTATGGAGCCTGTAGGTAGTGGAGCTGCCTGTAATGATACAGGAGGCCCATGTGCAGTTTGAGCTCAAGGTTGGAAGACACAGTAACTGGGATTCCTGTAGCAATATTTAGGTCAAGCTAAAAGCTAGCTTGAAGGCAACTCAACTGCATGGCCCAATATGGGCCCAGGGGAGCGCCTACCATAGAAGTTCAGGAAGTAACTGGATAAATGGCAGGAAACATGGCTTTCTTTGTATGCTTTAGGTAGAAAATGATTGAGTATCCAGCCCTTCCTTGCAGAGAGAGAGAGAGGGGAGAAATAAGATAGAGATTCTGATGCAAAGTTTGTGGCAATCATTTTCCTTCCCTACACAAACAGCCACTCTGGATGAGCTATTACCAGCAGGAGAGTGAGTTTGTGTGTGTATGGGGGTGGGGGGGTGTGAGAAAACCTGGATTTGTGCTGGAAATGGCCCACCTTGATTATCATGCACATTGTAGGGAGAGTGGTCACTTTGGATGAGCTATTACCAGCAGGATAGTGAGTTTGTGTGTGTGGTTTTTGGGAGGGGGGTGAGGGGGTGAGAGAACCTGGATTTGTGCAGGAAATGGCCCAACTTGATTATCATGCACATTGTGTAAAGAGTTGTCACTTTAGATGGGCTATCACCAGCAGGAGAGTGAATTTGTGTGCGGGGTGGAGGGTGAGAAAACCTGGATTTGTGCTGGAAATGGCCCAACCTGATGATCACTTTAGATAAGCTATTACCAGCAGGACAGTGGGGTGGGAGGAGGTATTGTTTCATATTCTCTGTGTGTATATAAAGTCTGCTGCAGTTTCCATGGTATGCATCCGATGAAGTGAGCTGTAGCTCACGAAAGCTCATGCTCAAATAAATTGGTTAGTCTCTAAGGTGCCACAAGTACTCCTTTTCTTTCTGTACTTTCAGTCCAAATAACTTTGATTTTAGATTTAAAATAATACTAAAGGGCCAGATTCTCACCTGAGAACAAGTTCCACTTTGTGTGTTGGGTACATGGAGGGGGCTGTCAGAGCACTGGTTCCAGCTCCTTAATTCTGTGGTCTGGTCTGAGTTGTCCCCCAACCTATATTACAGCTGCTTAGGAGCTTCTGTAAATGCCAGCATGACTCTAAAGAGAGCATATGCCAGCCGAAGTTCAGCAAAGTGGAGCTGAAAATCCCCCAATGCTGTAGGGAGTGGTCCTAGTAGACTAAGGCTTTACACCAATGGGAATTTCCCCTCCATCCGGGGAACTCTTCCCTGGCAAGGAATAGCCAGATTTCAGCCACTTTGTGCTGATAAATTAGTGTGAAAATGTAGAACTGGTCCTTCAATGTCATACAATTCATGGCCAGAAGGGACCACTAGGTCCTCTAGTCTGATCTCTTGGATATCACAGGCCACCAACATTGCCCAGCACTTACAAACTAAACCCAACAACTAAAATGAGACCAAAATATTACAGCCCACTAAACTATTAAGTGTCACACCTGAAAGCACAGAATGTGCCTTTCGGTAATAGGTTGCAACAGTTCTACCTCACAAAACGGCAATTGCCTCTGCACGCAGCATATGCCTAGAAACTTAAACTCAGAAAGCAACCATGCAATGGGTACATTACAATGGGCTGTACACATATTACTTCTATCCATTACGGTGTAGAAACCCACGCATATGCATGTGCTTCTCGAAATC